AATGCATCTCTCTAAGAACCTTTAGCCTACATTGTTTCCGCTGCATCTGCCTGTACCTCATAGCGCTTGCACTTTTGACATTTCTCCTCAAGCCCTGGAGAGGAATAGGATGTACGTGCGCAAGACTTCGCTGCACACACAAGCTGCATGCGGAAATACCTCTACAGTTATGAATGAAAAGACAAGGAAGCAGAGGGCATGCTGAGGCAGGGACACACACATTCACACAGGAGCAAGAACGTGACACACAAGTAGAAACAAACAGGAACCTTAAATGAGTAAAATAAGCTGGGTGAGTTAGAAGACCCTGACGGGGTCTGATGAGGAAGGACGGTGAGTCTTACCTGTCAGAGATGTCATGACTTCCTGTGGCTCCAAGCAGTCCGAGAGCTGCACTTCCCACCACTGCAGCAGCCCCACTGCCAGCCTCCATGATACTGAATCACTGCAGGAGCAGCCTGCCAGAGAGAGAGAGAGAGAGAGAGAGAGGGGCAGGGAGGGAGAGAATGAGAGCAAGGGAGAGAGAATTAAGAAAAAAGATGTAGAGTCAGTACAGAGTTAGAAATGAGAGGTAAAACAAGCAGAGGAGAGAAAATGACACAGACTGTCTCTAGAGGATCGTGGAAACCTGGGCTTTTTACTTTCACATCCAACAGCCAATGATCATTTCATTGATCAATCATTTTCATTCACTAAAATAAAGCTGGAAAAAAATATATACATATGGACAAAATTCAAACATGATTCAATATTGTCAGTCAGTCAGTATTTGCCTTTCCTAGAAGCCTAGGAAGTGATCACTTATTAGAGCATTAATATAGATGCCAACTGAAAGAACAACTCTCTCTTTTAGAAAACATTATAATAATATTTATACAGTTAGAATTATTCCAAAGAAAGCATTTAAAAAGTGTTTTTTTTTTTCTTTTTCTTTTTCTTTTTCCTTTTCCCAGCACAGAACTTGTCAGTTTGGATTTCTTTCTTTTTTTTTTCTACAGATTTGCTTAGTACGCCACCCTTGTCTCTAAATATCAGCATTAGCTATTGAAGAACCTATATCAATCATTCAATAAAATCAGTAAAAACATCCAGTTTAAAACTGTCTAATGTGCCCTCCCCTTAGCAGGTAAGCAAGTACTTA